AAAAACAGCCCGGGTGGGGCTCCCGAAGGACCTCCCCCTTTTGGGGGGGGGGTGCGCGGCTGCGAACGGCGCTCTCCGGCGTTACGGCGCTCGCGGGGCGGCTCGTGGCGTTCAGGGGCGTTCGCACACGCACACGCACACGCACACACACACAGGACACACACACAGACACACACACACACACACACACACACACACACACACACACACACACACACACACACACACACACACACACACACACACACACACACACACACACACACACATGCACAGACACACAGCCCCTTCCCCTCCCCCCTCAAGGGCGAGGACACGCACAGGCCGCACCTCTAGTGAGGCCCGCATAGTATGTGGGAGACTCGTGCCGCCGCCCCTGCCACCCCTGTGTCAGTGTGCCTGTGGTAGGAGAGACTGCCAGCGACAAGCTGGAGGCAGGTCGCTAGACTGAGATGAGACCGCCAGTGGATGTGGGAGTCCACCGCGCACCGCGCTGCGAGCCTGTCGTGTCCCTTGTCAGGAGCAGGAGAGCCCCACCTGTCCCCCTGATCGTTCTTCCAAAATCCTGCTCGTGCAGGTGGGGACCCTGTCCTCGTCCCATCCCTCGTTTGGCGTGTCTGTTTTCTTTCTTTCTTCTTTTCCCGTGTCTAGTCGACGGTGGTAAATTCTTTCTTTTGCTTTCGGTCAAGGGGTATCTCGGTGTCTCAATTCCGGCCCCGCTCGAGAAACTGGAGAGATGGGCGACAACCCGACGGGCAGACCCCGCCCCGCTCGGTCGGAGGGAGGGCGTGCTCGCGTGCACCACACAGCAATTAGACATATATCATACATCGCGCCTCCTCGTGCTGCGTTTCTTCATCTCTGCAGGTGCAGCGCGTGCGAGGCGTCGCAAGCGCGCGATGTGAGCCGAGTGCCGAACCCACTCCCCGCTAACACCTCCCTCACTCCACGCGCCTATCCTATCTGCGCAGGTGGCAGCTGAGGGAGGGTGTAGAGGATGTAGAGTGTAGAGCGCTGTAGAGCTGTAGAGCTGTAGAGATGTGGAGCGCTGGAGAGCGCTGTAGAGCTGTAGAGCTCTACATCCGGCGCGTGACGATGTGAGTCGCCTGTAGAGCGATGTAGAGGCGCTCTACAACGTGAAATCTCTACAACAAACTCTACATCATAAGCGGCGAACGAGGCACGGTCGCTCTCCGACATGAGGCGCGTTGCACTTGCCAGTGCTGCCCTGGCCTTCTGTCTGCCCGCCCAATGGGTGGCAGGTGCCTCTGCTGCTGTGGCATGCCTCACGGCTGCGACTGGCCGGCGCCTCGGCGCGTCAGCTCGGCTCGGCGTAGCGGTGTTGTGTGCCGTCAGAGTGACTCTCTGTGTGTCAGGGGTAGTCAAGGCCGTCCATCAGAGCTCCAGTAAGCTCGGAGACACCCCATTAGCGCGGCTCGACCTCTTTGAGTCACTGCCTTCCCGGCGGTTTGGCTGTATAGCCTCTACAACCAACTCTACATCTCAATCGCGGTCTACACCTCTCTACAGGCGACTCACATCGTCACGTCGCCGGATGTAAAGCTCTAAAGCTCTACAACGATCTTGAGTTCTACAGCGCTAAAGAGTTTCTACAGCCGCTCAGAGGGTCCAACAATCTTCGTCCTCTACTCCCTCCCTTAACACCATATATGCCTCCTTGCACACCTTCTCC